TTGAAATCAGGCAATATGAATCCTTCAACCTTGTTCTTTTTCAAGTTTGTTTAGGCTATTCTCAGTCCTCTGGATTTCCATATATATCTTAAAAACTTGCCATTCTCTATTTTAAAAGCCTTTTGGGATTTTGATTGGGCACAACTGATGTTTTCACAATATTAAATCCTACAATTCATGACATATTTCTATATCCATGGTAAATATCCTCATTTAGTTAAGTCTTCTTTAATTGCTCTCAGTAATGTCTTATAAATGTTAGTATAGAGGTCTTACAAATCTTCTGTTAAATTTTTTCTAAATATTTTATATTTTTTATGTTATTTGCAATGTGGTTTTAAGATAGATACTGAAATAACATCCAGAGGCACCTAAAATCTGAAGTTCATTTTTTTTTTTTTTTTTTTGAGACAGAGTCTCGCTCTGTCGCCCAGGCTAGAGTGAGTGCCGTGGCGTCAGCCTAGCTCACAGCAACCTCAAACTCCTAGGCTCAAGCAATCCTCCTGCCTCAGCCTCCCGAGTAGCTGGGACTACAGGCATGCGCCACCATGCCCGGCTAATTTTTTCTATATATATTAGTTGGCCAATTAATTTATCTCTATTTATAGTAGAGATGAGGTCTCGCTCTTGCTCAGGCTGGTTTCAAACTCCTGACCTTGAGCAATCCGCCCGTCTCGGCCTCCCAGAGAGCTAGGATTACAGGCGTGAGCCACCGCGCCGGGGCCGTGAAGTTCATTTTTAAAAATCCTTTGAGTTCCCAGTTAGATATTATGGGGTTGGATGCCAAAGAAGGATAATACAAAAAGAAAAAAAAAAACAAAGATGATGCTAAAGAGATGTTGTAAGGCAATATTTGTGTAGGTGCTAGTTCAATGTAGAGAAAACAAGATGGTATAGTGACTAGAAGAGGGCACAGCAGAGATTCTGGGGTGTTGGTAACAATCTATTTCTTGATCTGGGGTGATAGGTGTGTTTAATTTGAGAAAATTCAACAAGGAGTATTTTTGTCTACCCTTTTCTGTATGCATGTAAAATATAATTAAAAAAGCATACTAGAATAATGAAAAAATCTTGGGAGCTAATTCATTGCATTTGGTACCAGCCACAGTCTCATGAGGGGGTAGTTCATGTGAGTGAGGGTCACCATGCTATTATCCCCTTAACAGCATACTAAGTTGAGCTGTGATTCCTTGCAAGAGGTGAAAATATTTTACGTAGCATTGAAATACAGCCAAAGAAATGCCCTGTGCAAAGATTCTGGGGCTGTGATGGCTAAGAAGGAGAAAGGAATATGAGAAAATATGAGAGAAAAGAAAGGTGGATGAGCTGGAGGGGGATAGAAAGATGAGGGGAGGCCAGGTGCAGTGGCTCACGCCTGTAATCCCAGCACATTGGGAGGCTGAGGCGGGAGGATAGCTTGAGGCTAGGATTTGGAGACCAACCTGAGCAACATAGCAAGGCCTGCCCCTCTAACCCCCAGTCTCTATTAAAAAAAAAAAAAAAAGCTGGATGTGGTGGCACACCTGGAGTCCCAGCTACAAAGGAGACTGAGGCAGGAGGATCCCTTAAGCCTAGGAGTTGAAGGTTATAGTAAGCTATGATCACACCACTGCACTCTAGCCCTGGCAATAGAGAGAGACCCTGTCAAAAGAAAGAAAAGAAAGATAAGAAAGAAAAGAAGGAAGGGGGGCGTAGTTTGGACTAATAAGTCTTCATCTGCTTTGCATTAAAATAATCACGTTTCCGCCCGGGCGTGGTGGCTCACGCCTGTAATCCTAGCACTCTGGGAGGCAGAGGTGGGCGGATCGCTCAAGGTCAGGAGTTTGAAACCAGCCTGAGCAAGAGTGAGACCCCGTCTCTACTATAAACAGAAATAAATTAATTGGCCAACTAAAAATATATACCAAAAATGAGCCGGGCATGGTGGCGCACGCCTGTAGTCCCAGCTACTCAGGAGGCTGAGGCAGGAGGATTGCTTGAGCCCAGGAGTTTGAGGTTGCTGTGAGCTAGGCTGACGCCACTGCTCGCTAGCCTGGGCAACACAGTGAGACCCTGTCTCAAAAAAAAAAATAAAATAAAATAAATAAAAAATAAAAAAAAGAAGGAAGGAAGGAAGGAAGGAAGGAAGGAAGGAAGGAAGGAAGGAAGGAAGGAAGGAAGGAAGGAAGGAAGGAAGGAAGGAAGGAAGGAAGGAAAAAAAAAGAAAGAAAAGAAGAGAAGGAAAGATGAGGGGAGAGAGTGTGAGAGGAGGGTTGATATGAAGCCTTGTTCCCTGCCAGAATCAATTGAAAAAATTCTGAGCATTTATTCTTTCATGTTAGCCCTGGAAGTAAGATATTATGAAGTGACATTAACACTGCATGTATTTATAATGTTAAACAATTGTAAAGTATTATTATTGACATGCACAGGATACTCTGAGACATTTATTCTGAGGCTGATTCTTATTGAAATTAGAGTTAATTACTACATTACCTATACTTCCATGTCATTTTGTTTATTCCTTAAATATTACCACTCATCACACTGTATTAAAACTACTTCATTGTCTATCTCCCTAACTTTACTGTCATCTCCTAGAGGACAAGGACATTGTTTTCTTCATCTCCAAATTACCATGGCATAGCATAAGCTTTTTGAGGAATTGCTCAATAAATATTTGTTGAATTAAATGATGGAATTTATGATGATCAGGCACATAGAATTCTCAATTATGGAAATATGCACATAAAATATGCTCCTATAAATTATAAATGCTTCACCTTACAAATTCAATTGCTTAATTGAATTCTAATTTTTTATTTCCAATTCTAATTTTTTATTTCATTTGATCATCAAAATCAATTTCTTAATGTGAATATATTACTTCACCAGAGGATCATAACAACGCTGCATGGCACAGAAGGGCAGTCATCATTAAAATACCCATTTTATAGATGAAGAGGCTAAGCTTATAACATATTTAAAAAACCTGGCCGGGCGCGGTGGCTCACGCCTGTAATCCTAGCTCTCTGGGAGGCCGAGGCGGGCGGATTGCTCGAGGTCAGGAGTTCGAGACCAGCCTGAGCAAGAGCGAGACCCCGTCTCTACTATAAATAGAAAGGAACTAATTGGCCAACTAATATATATAGAAAAAATTAGCCGGGCATGGTGGCTCATGCCTGTAGTCCCAGCTACTCGGGAGGCTGAGACAGAAGGATCGCTTGAGCCTAGGAGTTTGAGGTTGCTGTGAGCTAGGCTGACGCCACGGCACTCACTCTAGCCTGGGCAACAAAGCGAGACTCTAAAAAAAAAAAAAAAAAAAAAAAAAAACCTGTTAATGGCCAGGCTCTGTAGCTCTTGCCTGTAATCCTAGTGCTCTGGGAGGCCGAAGGGTGGGTGGATCCCTCAAGGTCAGGAGTTCAAAACCAGCCTGAGAAAGAGCGAGACCTTGTTTCTACTAAAAAAATAGAAATTAATTGGCCAACTAAAAATATATATAAAAAAAAAATTAGCCAGGCATGGTGGTGCATGCCTGTAGTCTCAGCTACTAGGGAGGATGAGGCAGGAGAATCGCTTAAGCCCAGGAATTTGAGGTTGCTGTGAGCTAGGCTGATGCCACAGCACTCTAGCCTGGGCAACAGAGCAAGACTCTGTCTCAAAAAAAAAAAGAAAAGAAAATAAGTTCCAGGACCCATCTTTCTGTGCTCTGGTGGAGGAAACAAAGAATTTTAGTTGTATGTGAAGGACTAGGCAGACGTAGAGAAGTGCACTGAAAAACTCTTCCAATTTTCACAGTCTGCCCAGGAGACTCAGTATATAAAGAATTGTCTCAATCTCTAGATATAAAGGAAAGATATGAAGAATCTCCCCCTGCCTCCACCTCTCTCGTCCCCCATCTCTTCCCCTACTAAGGGGGTGAGATTTCCAGAGTCATAGTCCTAGTCTCTTCTATTTGATAGTCTCTTCTATTTGAACTACAGAAGGTGAGAAGAGATAGTTGAAAAAGGAAGCAAATTCTCACATGCCCTCAACACATAAAAATAAACATTGCCCTGAATCCTGCAAGCCATCAGTCATTGTCATCATCATTATCCTCATTTATAATCACTTCTAAAACTTGTTAGAAGCCTTTCATTTACAGCCTGGTGTGTAGAAGGATGGGCTTTGGAGCAGATAAGCGAGCGATCTGACAAACTCATTGGCTTTGTCACATAATCTTTATTTATTTATTTATTTATTTATTTATTTATTTATTTTATTTTATAGACAGGGTCTCACTCTGCCCCACAGGCTGAAGTCTGAAGTACAGTGGCACGATCATAGCTCACTGCAGCCTTGAACTCCTGAGCTCTCTAGCCTCAGTCTCCTGAATAGCTAGGACTACAGGCGCGCACCCCCATCCCCGGCTCATTTTTTTTGTAGATATGGGGTCTCATGTTGCCCAGGCTGGTCTCAAACTCTTGGCCTCAAGTGCTCCACCCGTGTTGGCCTCTCAAAGTGCTGGGATTTCAGGCATGAGCCACTGCACCCAGCCCACATAATCTTTAGAGCTTTGTCTTTTCATCTGCAAAAACAACATATGGCTATTGAGGGTATTAACGGAGATAAATTTGAGATAACATATACAAAAGCTCTGTGCAGACTAATAGCTCTATAAAGTTTCAGTTGCTTGATTTGTCTAAGTTTCCTTATCTCTAACGAAAATAGTGAGAACCTACTTCATAGGGTTCTCGTGAACTCTAAATGAGTTAATAAATGTAAGCACAGCTCCTGACACAGTGCTTAACAAATGTTAGCCACTGATATTACTAATGTGTGCTCCACGAGGGGGCATGTCGGATTCTAAACACCTTTCCCTCTCCGAAAGAGCCTAATACCCAGCGGATGCTCACTACATCATTGCGCGATGACTTAGGAATGGAAGAATCGTCTGCCTGCAGCACGAGCCGCAGGGGGCGACCGAGCGCAGAACTGCCGTACGCCGGAACCCAAAGTTCGGGACGCTGCTGCGGCGGAGCCTCTTGGCGTCTGCAAACCGGCGTCGGAAGTGGCGAAGGCGGGGACCGGGTGAAATCGCCAGCCAGGGAAGATGCTGCTGGACTTGTCTGAGGAGCATAAGGAGCATCTAGCCTTCCTGCCGCAAGTGGACAGCGCGGGTCAGGATACGCGGGACGGTGTTCTGTGGGCTGGGAAGGGGGCTAAAGGGAACCCCCGACGCTCACGGCCTTCTGACTGTCGTTATAGTGGTCGCCGAGTTTGGGCGGATTGCAGTGGAGTTCCTGAGGCGAGGTTCGAACCCCAAGATCTACGAAGGCGCCGCTAGTAAGAAGGGGAGAGGTGCGGCCTCGCGGACTGCTAAGGGAAGTGCGAGCTGTCCTCTGTCGTCCGGGAGAGGAAGGGGATTATTTCGACTCCTAGGGTCTTGTTCCCATTGTAGTTGAATAAAACCAGCAGAGCTTTTCAGTCAGGATGCAAATACTGCCCGTCTTCTTAGTAGCTGTGAGGTTTTTAAAGCTTCTGTTAAGTCAGTTTTCTCATGTGTAAAATGGACGTAATATCACTTGCCTTTCAGAAATACTGAGAAATGTTAAATATACCAAAGTCTGTGGAATAGCTGGGCCAGCTGTAAATAATCGTGCACGTGCTTGGTTATCATTAGTTATTCAGACATTTGCTTTTGCTGAAGTGGTGATGTTTTCCCTCTGGATGAGAGGCGGTCTCTGCATTTAAGTCTATCCCTGTGGAGTTCCTGTTTTGCCAGACTTGAAGGAACTACGTATTCAAGAGGTCTGTGCATGGCAGGAAATACTGAGGGCATCTGGCTGTTGTTAGTGGAATGAGAAAGAACAGGAGGCTGTGGCGAACTTATTTTTCATTGTACTGTTTGAAAACATGGAATAATGAATGTTTATTTTATTTATTTTTTTTTTTGAGACAGAGTCTCGCTTTGTTGTCCAGGCTAGAGTGAGTGCCGTGGCGTCAGCCTAGCTCACAGCAACCTCAAACTCCTGGGCTTGAGCGATCCTTCTGCCTCAGCCTCCCGAGTAGCTGGGACTACAGGCATGCGCCACCATGCCCGGCTAATTTTTTATATATATATCAGTTGGCCAATTAATTTCTTTCTATTTATAGTAGAGACGGGGTCTCGCTCTTGCTCAGGCTGGTTTTGAACTCCTGACCTTGAGCAATCCGCCCGCCTCGGCCTCCCAAGAGCTAGGATTACAGACGTGAGCCACAGCGCCCGGCCTGAATGTTTATTTTTAAATAACAGTTGGAATGAAAGGATAAATATTAAAACAGTAATTTATTTATTCATCTTTGCTTATCTTTTTCAGGAAAACTAAATGTGAGTAGTGACACTGTCCAGCATGGTGTGGAAGGATTAACATATCTCCTCACTGAGAGCTCAAAGCTCATGGTAAGGGCTTCTGGGAAATGTTTTGTAAGACCTGGATTCTTAGGAAAGGTCCGATATCCTCCACATCGTAGTCCTGGCAGGTACTTGTGTATTTGAGTAATGTTGTTAATGGTTTATAATTCATTTTGTGAAGACATACCTAAACAATATGACTATAATATCATTTGCTGGCATGAATACCTCTTGCTAGTCTAGCTAGTAAAGTATTGCCTCTAATTCTACATGTTGTTAAACCATATGCCATAGTATATATCCTAAAAGGAAGGAGAGTGAAATGATTTCTTTGCATATCAGCAGTATCTGGCTTGATGAAGAATAGAAAGGGAGAGTGGGCATCTTAATTCTTTCCTTTATGTACTTTAATAAAGTATTCTTATGTATTAGTAACTCAGATTATGGAATAGTGGGCAATGGTTGTTTTTAACTATAAGGAACATTGTTTCTTTTACTAGACAGAAATGAATTCGAGGATATCATATTTGAATGTTTGTGTATATCAAATATTTTAGCATTTACCAGACAAACATAAATTTTGATGTTCCTTTAAACACAATTCACTTATAGATTTCTGAACTGGATTTCCAAGACTCTGTTTTTGTTCTGGGATTCTCTGAAGAATTGAACAAATTGTTGCTTCAGCTTTATCTGGACAACAGAAAGGAGATCAGAACTATTCTAAGTGAATTGGCACCAGACCTTCCCAGTTACCACAGCCTTGAATGGCGACTAGATGTACAGGTATGCCTTTTCTTTTTAACTTGACATAGAGCAAAAGGATTATTTTAGGTCTGTGTCCTGCTTATTGTATTCTTTACCACTTTAACCAAGCTGTGGCTTGAAACTTAGGTCTTATAATGTTCACTTTCAGACCATTTTACAAATAGTTCATTTTCCTTTGTTTTTAATGTGTTCAAATAACTGTAATTTGCAAAGTTTGTAAGAAATTGGTTATTATGGAAAGGAAGATGGTTATGTAGATTTTTAAGGTGATGCCTAATTTTTTAAAAAAACTCTTCTCTTTAAATTTAACAGACATAGAAAGGTGCACAGGTAAATGTACAGCTCAATAAATTATCACACAGTAAAAACTCCTAAGAAACTGACATTCAACTATGACCCACATCCAAGAAGCATCCTCCTTTCCTCCTACCAAATATTTCCCCTTCCCTCTTTTCTTTTCTTTTTTTTTTTTTTTTACGTCAGACGGGTAATGTGCCGATGTCGTAACAAGGTTTGAGGGAGGCACATCTCACGCATGCGCGTGAAAACCCAATCATCACGCTTTTGAACTACAAAAGGATCTCCCTTCCCTCTTTTCTAATGGTATCCAACATCCTGACTTCAAACACATAGATTCTTTTTGCCTGCTTTTTAACTTTCTATATATGGAATGATTCAGTAAATATTCTTTCATGTCTGGCTTCTTTTGCACAGTATTATTTTTATGATACTTCTTCAGTTGTTTTTAGAGCCACATAAATAATAGGAAGTTTTTAGACCATTACATATAGCCCTTTATTAAGTAGTGAAAGATGAGTTAGTAGATATGTATTGAATGCCATTCATTTACTGTGTAGAGCTGTGCTAAATGCTTTGGGACACAGAAGAAATGTAAGATACTTTTCTCAGCTGGAGAAGATGTCATCAACTGGTTAGGGATATTAGGTGTTCCCAAAATAACTAATAATTAAAGATAGTTATAAAATAAGGTCCTAGAGGGGGAAAAATATTATTGTGTAAATGAAGATGCTGAGTGTTTCAAAAATGTCCACATGTTGTGTGTATTCTAGCATGATCCAGAAGCAAAAGGAGGTTAAATTTCAAAAGGATGAATGAATAGAGAAAACCAGGATAAAAATACTTGGCAGGGGAGGCAATGTAAGTTGTAAAGGCCCACATAGATATGGATATGAGCATATAAATATGTGACACAGTACATTAGTTCTCAAACTTGACTACATATTAGAATAACCTGGGAAGTTTTGTAAAAATTCTGATGTTTGTATTCAGTATCCAGAGATTTAAATGGTATAGAGTTTGTCCTGGGCATCAGGATTTTTAATAGCTCCCCTTTTACCACATAATTCAATAAATAAATAATAGTGAAATAAAGTTTGTGAACTACTGTTACAGTGGATTCTTCCTGATTTGAATGGAGATAAGGTGGTCAAAATGAACTGTAGAAATTCACTTAGGGGAGTGTAGACCAAACATAGCAGAAAATAAGAAACCTTTGTAGCTTTTTGGATAAGAGAGTATAATAACCTTAAAACAATCATTTAGGAAAGTTAATCTAGCATCCTTGGGCAGACCAGAATGAAAGTGGGAATTTGAAGTTTGAAGAAATTCAGTTCTTTACCCATTTTTTCCTCCATATGAAATGCTTTTTCTGTCTTTCCATTACCTCTTGATTCTTCTCTTCTCCTTTTATCCTTTTAAGTCTCAGTTTAAATCAGGGCTCAGCAAACTATGACCTATAGGCCAAATCTGACTTGCTACTTGTTTCCATAAATAAAGTTTTACTGGGACACAGCCATGTGCTCCTTTGTTTACATATTATCTATGGCTGCTTTCAAAGTACAGGAGCAGAGTTGAGTAGTTGTGCCAGAAACTGTGTGGTCTGCAAAGCGTAAGATATTTATCTGGCTCTTTACAGAAAAAGTTTGCTGACCTCTGCTTTAAATGATGCCTCCCTCTAGGAGAAATGCCCTGTTAAATCCTGATGGTATCTGTGCTTCCTCTTTTGGCAAGTCATCTCACTCATACAAACCTGTTTTCCAAACTGTAAACTCTGGGATAGCAGGGACCATGCACGTTTTTTTTGTTTTTTTAACTAAATGTTAATATTTTTTTGTTTCATTTTTGCTTTTTGCTTTTGACTCTTCTTCAGCAGGTGGAGTCAAGACTGTACTCTTTATTCATAGCCTCAACATCTCCTCCATGCTCCACACTCTTACCTCTTGACTTTGCTTCCTGTTTGACTAAGAAAAAAGAAGTAATCAGAAGAAAACTCCTGCATGCACCTATCATATCTGCCAGTCTTCCTATATCAGCACTTACTTGCTGTGTCTTCTCTCCTGTTCCTCTTTTTTTTTTTTTTGAGACAGAGTCTCACTTTGTTGCCCAGGCTAGAATGAGTGCCCTGGCGTCAGCCTAGCTCACAGCAACCTCAAACTCCTGGGCTCAGGCGATCCTCCTGCCTCAGCCTCCCGAGTAGCTGGGACTACAGGCATGTGCCACCATGCCCAGCTAATTTTTTCTCTATATATTAGTTGGCCAATTAATTTCTTTCTATTTATAGTAGAGACGGGGTCTCGCTCTTGCTCAGGCTGGTTTCGAACTCCTGACCTCGAGCAATCCGCCCGCCTCGGCCTCCCAGAGTGCTGGGATTACAGGCATGAGCCACCGCGCCTGGCCTCTCCTGTTCCTCTTGATGAAATGTCTGTGTTCTTATCTATAGTCAACTTCTTCCCTTGTATACTTCTATCCATCCTCATTTCCCCATATGAGAACATAGTTTCAGCAATTGTTCCCTTTGTTTCCTGCATTATACTTTTTTTTTTTTTTTTTTTTGCCTCTACTGAATCATTCCTTTAACAGAACAGTGGAGTCAGAAACCCAGTCTTGGCCGGGCGCGGCCAAGACTAATTGGCCAGCTAATATATATAGGAAAACTTAGCTGGGCATGGTGGCACATGTTTGTAGTCCCAACTACTCGGGAGGCTGAGGCAGAAGGATCACTTGAGCCCAGGAGTTTGAGGTTGCTGTGACCTAGGCTGACGCTACCGCACTCACTCTAGCATGGGAAACAAAGCAAGACTCTGTCTCAAGAAAAAAAAAAAGAAACCCAGTCTTGACTCCACATACTCCTCCTACTGCCACTCCATTTTTTTTGCTTCCCTTTTTACCAGAAGTCCTTGAAAGTTTTCTGTCTGTCTATGTGTTCTCTCTCCCTATTCTTTTTCAAACTCACTCTAATCAGGCATCTTCTCCACCACTCTACTCTTATAACTTAATCAAGGTCATCACTTTTTAGTCTTTATGCCATTCATTCTGTTTGTTAATAGCATTTGTGACAGTTAATCAGTCTTTCCTACTTGAAATACTTTCTTCAGTTGCCTTCTGGGAAATAAATCCTCTGGTTCTTATCCAAACTCACAGATCCCTCCTCAGTCTCCTTTGCTGATTCTGTCTCATCTTATCATACCCTTTAAACATTAGGATGCCCCAAAGCTCAGTTCTTGATCTTCACACTTTTTCCACTTATATTCCATAGCTGATTTCATCTAATTTGATGGCTTTAAATACTCTCTATATACTCAGGATACTCAAATTTATATCTTTAACCTAAATCTGTCTCCCAAACTCCAGAGTCATACAGTTGAAGTCTATTTGATATTTCCAATTTGGTGTTTGATAAGCATTCAAATGCATTATGTCCAAAACTTAATCCCACCTTTCTCACCCTCTTCTCCCAAAATTGATCTTCCATAGTATCCCCCATCTCAATAGATGCTCTTTGAAGCATCTCAAGTCTGCTCTTTGAATTACTCAGGCCAAAAATACTTGGAATCATCCTGTGTCCTCTCTTTACTTTTCATCTAGTCCATCTGTAAATCCTACCTTAAAAATTCCATAATCTGACCACTTCCCTCCACTGTTTGAAAACAAAAAAGATAAATTTCACACCAAAATCACAATTTTTAGCAGCTCTTGAACAATTAGAAGTTCAGGCAGCTCAAGAGCCACATTCCCACATGACATTAATGAGTTCAAGATGCATTGAATTTTGGCTGTGTGTGGTGGCTCACACCTGTAATCCTAGCACTCTGGGAGACCAAGGCCGGCAGATCATTTGAGCTCAGGAGTTTGAGACCAGCCTGAGCAAGATCGAGAACCCCGTCTCTACCAAAAATAGAAAAAATTAGCCAGGCATGGTGGCACATGCCTGTAGTCCCAGCTACTTGGGAGGCTGAGGCAGAAGGATTGCTTGAGTCTAGGAGTTTGAGGTTGCTATGAGCTAGGCTGATGCCACGGCACTCTAGCCTAGGCAACAGAGTGAGACTCTGTCTCAAAAAAAAAAAAAATGCTTTGAATTTAAGGTAAAGACAGCTTATTTAAATTATAATCCCGGTAGTAGTTGAGGATGTTAGCCTAGAACTTGGGTTCAAGATTAGTTCAAACAGCAGGTGTGGTGGCTCATGGCTGTAATCCTAGCACTCTGGGAGTCTGGAGCAGGAGGATTTCTTGAGCTCAGGAGTTCAAGACCAGCTTGAGCAAGAGTGAGACCTCATCTCTACTAAAAATTGTATTTTCCAAACATTTATCCATTTGTCTTCTTTTGTAAAATGCTTATTCAGCTGTTCTGTACATTTTTGTCTTGCATTTTATTAAATCAGAGGAGTTCAACATACATTCTGGATACAAATTTTTTTGGTTATATATGTATTGCAAAATATCTTCTTCCAGTTTAGGGTTTGTTTTTTATTACCCTTAGGTATCTTTTTGAAGAAAAATTATTAATTTTAATATGGCAATCCTAGCACTTTGAGAAGCCAAGGTGGGCGGATTGCTCGAGGTCAGGAGTTTGAAACCAGCCTGAGCAAGAGCCAGACCCTGTCTCTACTATAAATAGAAATAAATTAATTGGCCAACTAATATATATAGAAAAAATTAGCCGAGCATGGTGGTGCATGCCTGTAGTCCCAGCTACTCGGGAGGCTGAAGCAGTAGGATCGCTTGAGCCCAGGAGTTTAAGGTTGCTTTGAGTGAGGCTGATGCCATGGCACTCACTCTAGCCTGGGCAACAAAGTGAGACTCTGTCTCAAAAAAAAAAAAATTTTTTTAATATGGCTAAATTATCACTTTGTCTTTATTGTTTGTGCCTTTTATTTCATGTTTAAGAAACTTTTCATACTGTAAGGTTTCATGTATATTCTCATTTTTTTTCTTTCCAAAGGTTTTAAAGTTTACTGGTCATTTTGAAGTCTATGATTCATCTGAAATTTAATTTTTGTGTAGGTTGTAAGGTAATTATAAATATTATGTTTTCAGTATGATTGTTGAATAATAATTGTGTTCTTTTTCCATTTAAAATCAAGCTTGCAAGCAGAAGTCTCAGGCAACAAATTAAACCAGCAGTGACTATAAAGCTACACCTTAATCACAACGGAGGTCACAATACCAACGTTCTACAGACAGACCCAGCCACCCTGCTCCATTTGGTTCAACAACTGGAGCAAGCATTGGAAGAGATGAAAACAAACCACTGTAGGAGAGTTGTCCGCAACATCAAGTAGTACCAATTTTAAGGTTTTAATCTCTTTGAATCATTTATGAATTTATATACAGCAATAACTTTTCAAATTAATTTTTTATTGATGATAATGATATATCCAAATTCCATGAAATTTCTTTTTCTATTCCAGGATATTGAGGTCATAATCATAAGCTAACATAAAGTTTATTTCCTAGTGGGAAATGTAGTCAGATTGACAGATTAAGATGTAGTTTGTATTTTAAATATGTAAATAGGATTGAATCAACTAGAAATGAATCTATACTGTTCTTATCTTCTGCGTATATGAATGGCTATACTGTTTTTTATATTTCTTTTGACTGCTTAATTTTATTATTTTCCTCCATATTGCTCAAAATAAAATTCACAATGTAATGTTATTACTGTACACAATTTTCTAAACAGTTTAATATTTTTTACTTTTCAAAGCACCCTACAGTCCCAGCTACTTAGGAGGCTGAGGCAGGTGGATCACTTGAGTCTAGGAGCTTGTGGTCAGCCTGGGCAACAGTGAGACTTCTTCTCAAAAAGAAAAAAAGCATTCCACAATGTTAATAGCTACAGAATAATTGAAAGTAAATATGATAACTTTTTTAATGCTCTGTTGTTATAGGCAGTTTATGTATTTTTCTTTGTATATGAAGATAATAAGTATCATATTGCTGGATGCAGGAGTAATAATTCTTGATTATCTAGGTATGAATTACAGTCACTTTTTAAAATTTTGTTTGAATAAACTATAACAGGGAAAAGGAAGTCCATGTTTATTACATTACAAGCAAATATTCCTTCTTCCTTACAAACTTGTTTTGTTTTTCACTGGGAACCAAAACTTGAAAAACTCAGGTGCTGATTTGTCAACCCAGCCTGAAAGAGTGCAGAGACACGATGGCAGACTTAAGGAGAACTGTTTGGAAGAGTGGAAATGGAGGTTTAGTCTCATGTGTATCTAGGGCTTTATCCTGAGAGTCTTATCCCCATGGAAGGCCTTTAGAACATCAAACTCTAAAATGAACTTTAGGCTCTGTCAATACTTTGTCTCCTAAGAATTGGAGATTTTCATGTCGGAGTGACATAATGTTGCTTTCTCTTTAGAAAAGAGAGAGCCTAAAAGGGAACAGGCCAGTGGGAGAAGAGTGCACTTAAAAAGGCCACTCATTGTCCCCTGCGGGCATCTGGGACACCCTTTTCTTATAGGTATATGTTCTGTAGTTGTAAAACAACTATATTATCAGATGTTAGCAGACTGTAATTAGAAATAATTTTTAATTACAGTGACAACTTGATTAATGAAGCTCTCATATTTAACAACCTCACAAACAAGAGGACACTTTATATATTACATGAACTAGTAGCACATATGTCATTTGGATTTAAAAGCAACATGCCTGCCAAGATTATATGATTAGAAATACCTCTCTGAAGCCTTTTATTTGTGCACATTTGATGGAAGATAAACAAGACTAATGCCAGCCAAGACTGAAATAATAGCCCTGTGTCTCCTCAGGGCAACCTGCTTTCCACCTCTTTGTCCACTGTTCTTACCCCAATCAAAACAAGAAGGCAAGTGCTGGTCTTTTTTTATTTGTATCAACCTCCCAAGCCTCCTTTCTCTGTACTCCATTATTCCTTCTATAATGTTCTGCCTTCTTCTCCAGTTTCTCTACCTTCTTTTAGAATCTGGGGCTCATCTTTTAGTACAGGCCATCAATGAACTGCTTCCTTTTCTTGTTCAGACATTCCACATCCTTATGGATTTCCTTGTCTTCTTTGTTTTATATAATGTTCAATATTTTTGTAGCTTATATGAATATAATTTTCTGCAGATGAAATCACCTTTCTGCTCTCCAATATGACCCAGGTTTCTTGACTCTGAGTAATGTGCCTTTATATCTTTAACTATCCAAATTTTTATTAAAGCTTTTGGGTATGAGTATGCTGATTTTGCAAGATTGGCTGATGCGTATCACACAATTTCAACAAGCTTGTTTTGTTATTGATGTTTCTAAGATGGGCACATTTGAAGCAGCAAATTGGAAAGGTGGTGGGGATGCCATAAGAAGATACTGTGTCTTTAAGAACTGAAAAATGAGAATCTGACACTAAGGAAAATTTGAAAAACCATTAAGAGTATGTGTAAAGGATACACGTGTGAAAGCCCTTAAAATTCATAACAGCATGTGGACTTTATGGGTTTATTATTTTATGAGGAGATTAAGAGGTAAGTCTTGGGCCCGGCACAGTGGCTCATGCCTTTAATCCTAGCACTTTGGGAGGCGGGAGAATTGCTCAAGGTCAGGAATTCAAAACCAGCCTGAGAAAGAGCGAGACCCCGTCTCTACTATAAATAGAAAGAAATTAATTGGCCAACTAATATATATAGAAAAAATTAGTCAGGCATGGTGGTGCATGCCTGTAGTCCCAGCTACTCGGGAGGCTGAGACAGAAGGATTGCTTGAGCCCAGGAGTTTGAGGTTGCTGTGAGCTAGGCTGACGCCATGGCACTCACTGTAGCCTGGGCAAAAAAGAGGTAAGTCTTTGGAGTTGGACAAAAGGATTTGAATTTAGGTTCTGTGGCTTACTAACGGTCCTTGGTGAATTCTCAAAGCCTTGTTTTCTTCATCTCTAAAATAGGAATTCAGGATCATTGCCTTGTAAGGACTAAATGAGACCATGTATATAAAATGTTTAGCATAGTACCAGGCTTTAGTAAATATTCAATAAGTGTTCACCATTATTGAAATAGCTGTGTAGACTAAGGATCTCATTATTTTATAGCCTTGAATTATATCTAATGTGCTGTAGTTAAAAAACTGGGAGAAAATGTTAACTGTTTCTGGGTGGTCAGATTATTGCTGTTTCTTTTCCTTTTTAGTTTCTATAATGAGTTTGAATGACTTTCATAGTATTTAGGAAAAAAACTTGCAAAGTCTGAGGAAGGAGAAAAAAATCAGGGAATTTAATAACATTTTAATAGATTGTTTTTTTATTTTAGCATAATAAGGGGGTACAAATGTTAAGGTTACATACATTGCTATTGCCTTCTCTCTCCCCTCGAGTCAGAGCTTCAAGCATGTCCATGCCCCTGACAATGCACAATGCACTTATAATGTATATATATAAACCCATCCCCTCCCTACCACCCGCCCAACACCCGATAAATGGTTTTTGTTTATTGTTTTTGTTTTAATAGATATTTTTATCCAGAATTTTGATTCTTAGAATGATAAACACATAGCTTTCCAGAAAACTCAGCTATTCAAAACTACTCAGTTCCCAAAGGACTCAGGTAAGCAGGCTGAGGGTTTTATGTATAGACTTGCTCTAGAGTCCCTTTTTGCTGTCTTTTTGTCTCCATGTTAGTGCAAGAAGCATGAGAATTATCTAAGTCAGTTCTCTTTTTATAGATAATATTACATCTAAACGAAGAATTATCTCTGTTTTTAATCTCCAAAGGAAAACACATAATCTTTGTAGTTTTTCATAGCCCTTCTGGTCAGAAAGTTTATCAAACTGCTGTATTAAAGTCCTCCTGCTATAATTTACTCTTCTCTGTACGTATTTTTCAAAATATGTATTTGATTAAGTTCCTCCTTAGCTCATTCTTCCGGAGTTTCCATAATGATAGGTTATTCTTGTGTCTTTTCCTTTCTTCCACAAATGTTAGAAAATATTTTGGTGGAAAGGCGTAGTACATTGCCTCTAACTTAAATATGTTAACTTTTAAAACCACTATGACTGTTATGTTCAAACTTAAATACTTTCCTTAGAACAAAACAAAGGAGCCCAACTCCATGGGCTTTCGTGTGGTTAGTTCAGTGAGCTTTACAAACTTTGAATGTAATGTTTTAACTATAAAAGCAGAATAAGCCCATTATTTTTCAGTTTTCACAACATTATACTGTAGAGATGAGAAAACAATGATATATTTTATGGCACTAAAATATAGACTTAATGATTTGATCTCTGAATATTAATGACTCTTTGTTCTATGTTTTTATAGCTCCTCTCTGCCCAAGAACTCAAATGACTTACATATGCTTAACAACCATGAGTCCATAAGATTCTATATACCATAATGGGGAAATATGAAGGAAGTTAATTTTATTTCTTAATGGGCTTAAAATAAAGGGAATATAAGTAATACAAATAATTACAGTAATATACTCTGAAACAAGGGTCTTCAAACTTTTTAAACAGGGGGCCAGTTTACTGTCCCTCAGACCATTGGAGGGCCAGACTATAGTTTAAAAAATACTATGAGCAAATTCCTATGCACACTGCACATATCTTATTTTGAAGTAAAAAAACAAACGGGTAAAAACACCCACATGTGCCCCGCGAGCCGTAGTTTGAGGACGCCTGCTCTAAAACTTGGCTTTTACTCAAGTTGTTGCCATCCAATCAACTTTTTATAAGATGAATTTTTTTATAATTATGCTGTAAATTATGTTTGTTATTATTAGAAATGCTACTACTTTTATATGACCATCAGAGTGAGAGGCTGTGCTCTTTTATTGTGTTTGAGTCTAAATTGACATTTTTTAGTTGCAAAAACTACACTTTGAATTTTCCTCCACTGCAGTTATCATATCCTCTCTTGCAGAATAGTTGGCCCAGCAACCAACTAAAAAGAGAGCACAGAACAAAGGATTTTTGCCCTTTCTTACCATCCATTTGAGTTATTTTAACTTTTATTTTTAATTTTTTTACTCTGCTCTCTTATACTGAGCTATAATCTACCCACTTGTGAATGGCATTGTATTAGTGGAAAAAACAAAGCAAATTTTGAAATATTTTCTAGGTCTTTCTTTACATGGTACAGATTCAGTTTTGTTAAATATTTATTAAATGCTTAGCATGATTCATGTTGTGTGTCGAACAAAGGATAAAGTCCTAATCTTCTCAGAGTTTAGAATGCTCTCAGGCCATTTCATCCTCTAAAATAGTTTAATCCATAAGCTCATTAGGTTGCAGAAAGGAATCTCCTGTGGGGGTTATTCTAAAGAAGGGGAGTTCCTCTGGTCTGATGTCTGCTAGAACAGCTTTTCCTTGAAACTCTCCTGTCTTCTAGAAGGCAGAACTCTCATATGATTCAATGGCTAGAGCTAGAGAAATGTGCAGAGGAAAGGATAAGTCATTACAGAATACTGAAAAATACTTGGACATGATTAGGATGGCAGAATTATCCTTACCTTTATTCCTTTGAAGTGGGGTTCCCTGAGGTAACCAGAGATGTGATGGTAAAAGCAAATCAAGTTCTTTTTTACCTGCATGCCAATGTTGTGATTGTCATAAATCCAATGAGAAGTGGATGCCTGTGGTTTTGAAGGAATGTGCTTAGTTCACAGAACGAAAAGGCTTCTCAGTTAACTCAAAGACTAAAAACACACAGATTAAAAATTCAGAGAATGAGGAAAAGAAAGTCTAGGGAAGTCTGAGTTTCACTGGGGCAAGTATAGATGGTCAGGGTATGATTTCCTGGCATGGTCTGAAAACTGTATGCTTTTATTCCAAATAAGTAAAAAATTATTACAAAGTTCAAATGAGTTTAAGTGCTGCACCATAATAAAATTGCTTGATTTGCAGCTGAGACTGTTGCATTGACAATTCATAGACTAAAAGAAGAGCTTAAGAAAGGCTACAGGCAATTTTTTTTAGTACCTGAAAAAAATGAGCACATCACTTTTCAGAAAGACAAAAATGACTTATCTCATGGTATGAGCAATGTAATTAAAACCTTTTTTTTTAAGTTAAAGCTCTCAAGGATATAATTTTTGGGTATTCTTTTCTATGCTTTTGTCTTCTACTCTTTGTTTTTGCTGAGAAAGAAATTCCAAACTCTATGCTTTTCTTAAACCCTTAGGACGATTTCTTTTCATGCCAAACCTCTCATTAAGATTTCTCCCTCCCTTTTTAAAATTTATTTTTTATTGATATATAATTCACATAATAAAATTTACCCTTTCAAAGTGTACAATTCAGTGGCTTTTAGTATGTTCACAGAGTTGTGCGACTATCATCACTGTTTGATTACAGAACATTTTCATCATCCCCCAAAAAACCTATAATCATTAGCAGTCACTTTTCATTTTCCTCTCTCCTAGTAACCACTAATCTACTTTCTGTACATTTGCCTATTCTGGATATTTCATGCAAATGGAATTATATGGCCTTTTGTGTCTGGCTGCTTTCACTTATAATGTTTTCCGGATTCATGCATGTTGTAGCATGTAGCAGTATTTCATGCCTTTTTATGACTGAATAGTATTCCATTGTATGTATATTCCTTTTTACAGTATTTGATTGAGTCTTATTCTTGGTCTTACTGTGGAATTAATCTGTTGCCTTTTATGTTCATAAAAGAACTTCTAACAGATTTAGTAATATATTCTCTACCATGAGGTTTTCTACAATTCTTTTCCTAGATACAAGTTAGCAGTCTGAGAGCAATTTCTTCTTAGCCAGTTACTCGAAGAGTTTTTCCCTAGTAGACTGAGTATTTTAATTATAGCCTTATTTAACAGTTATACCAGGTAGGGAAATAGTCAGATGAACTATCGAAATACTTAGCTGAAATTAGCACTAAAGAAAACTAGAAATCTAGAAAACTAGATTAGTATTACAGTCAGTCTTCTGTAACTCAGATTCCACATCCACAGATACAACCAACTGCAGATTAAAAGTGTTCAAAAAAAAAAAGTAAAAATACAACAGTAAAAAACAATACTGGTTTTTAAAAATATAGCAACTATAATATATAGCATTTACATTATATTAGGTAGTATAAATAATCTAGAGATGATTTAAAGTATATGGGAGGATGTGTATAGGTTATATTGCAAACCGCCAATGTTCCTTGACTTATAATAGGTTTATATTCCAATAAAATAGGCTTATATTCCAATAAAATAGGTTTATATTCCAATAAACTTAT